ATTTTGGGGAGTTCTGGAATGCTGTACCAGACGAGGACAGAGATTGGTTAAGCGAGTCTCTGAATGATCGTGAATATGCAGTAGGTCTGAGGGAACTAAATTATAATACCAAGGAAATGCTGGAGTCAATGAAAAAGTCCATAGTGGAACTATTTACAGATGAGAACAATACAAGAATTGAATTGCCTTCTTCATGGGCTTTAATGGAGCAGTTATTATATGAAGGAGACTGGAAGGTTTTGTCCCTGAGTGAAATCTGGAAGCTCAACTCATCTGTTCCCGATGAATACCAAATCAAACGTGTTGAGGAAATGTCAAAATTTTTAAAATGCTTCCATGACAATGGCCTTCTTTTGTATTTTGAAGAGGAGAAATTGAGGGATCATGCTATACTAGACATTCAGTGGTTTGCTAATGCTTTCAGTAAGGTAATTGCTGATGAAAATCACATCAATAAAGATTGTAAAAGGAAATTAATCAAAGAGTGGAAATCCTTTAACAAAACGGGCGAACTTAAAGATAAAGTGATAGATGCTTTGTGGAAAGATGAACCCTCTTACTTGAAACACAAAAGTGAAATTATGCCATACATGGAGAAACTTCAAATGCTGGTACCTTTGAATGCATTTGAGGCTGTGTCAGAAGGTGGAATGTCATGGTATGTCCCATGTATGAACAAAAAGCAGTTTAAAGCTAACTTTTTTGAAGATAAATGGGAATGCTCCTCCATTTTATGCTTTCGGTTCACTTCTTTTGCCATGTTCGTGTTCTACAGACTGGTAGCATACTGCATGAGTTATCTAGGATGGAGTGTTGCAAAAGATGAAGATAATGAAGGAAGTCCATGTCTTTATCAAACAGCGGCAGTGTTTGATCACAATGCACACACTGTTGTTATTGGCATATGCAATGATGATATTCAGTTGCAAGTGTTCAGAATCAAACCATTAACTGTAGACAAAGAAGTATCAAATGAAATTGGAAATTCCGTTGATAAAACAATAGAAAAACTGACAGAAACATTTATAGACACAAAAATATTCCACAGAGGATACAAATGTCAAAACATTATTTGTAATGAGAAAGATATATCTTTCACCCTTGCAAGTGAGCTCTCCAAAATCAAGGCTAAAGAAATTCAGTGCAAGTGTAAACTTCGGGAGAAACATGTGATAAATGTACAAAGAACTCTAGGATTCTGGGAAAAGGTAACAATTACTTATCTTTATATCCCCAGGCAAACAAAAAAATGAAGAACAATTAGAGGTTGACCTTTGACTCAAAGGTTACTTATGACCTGAGGGTGCATCATGATTTGGAGATGTTTTAGGTCATTTGGTCAATAACATAAAAAAAGTAAAATTCATTTCCATAATTTTTAATCGAGAAATATAGTAAGCTATACTTCATTCTTAAATTGCTGATAATCTAAGGATAAATAATGATATTGATTAAGGCCCCAAGTCTCTTAGCAAACCATATTTTAGTTAACAAGTTTCTCAAATCTCTTGCTATTTGCCTTTTTACATCACTAAGCATTGTCTGTGAACTTCTGAACATGTTCAGCCTCTTTTCAAGAACTGCTGAACCAGTTTTGGCAGATTACATGTATGGATAGAACGGAACAAAAATTGTGAAATCCAGAGGGTGGATCCAATAAAATTAATTCAGTTTTCAAAAATTGTGTGTTCTTCTGGACATCTTAGTCATGTTAATAGTAGGAAAACTGTTAGCATGATTATAATATGCAGTGAAGTTTTTACTAAGGTTGTTACATTCATAGAATATTTGTTCAAATAAATATCTTCTTTACTGATGTACACCCAGTAGACGAACTGTTTACATGAATCAAATGAGTTTTCAATCATTTACCAAAATTATGCAATTAACAGTCCACTGGCTCATGGTTTAGGTCCCAGGGTTTTACAGACTCTGAGTACAACTTGTTTCTTTCAAAATAAATCTTTTGTTTCACCTTAATCCTAATGTTCAAAATTAATCATGTTAATGTGATGGTCACCAACTCAGTGATATCTAATGGTAAATTAAAATCTTATGAACCTAATTTTCCTTACTTGACCTACAACAGGGCCGTTTGAGATGGTCATGTAATTTTAAATACTTTTACAAACTCTACTAACTCTAGGTTTAGCTTTGCTAAATACATATGGAATAATCAAATGAACTAAGATTTATTCTGTTTCAAACAACGTTGGCTATTTCCAGCATTTAAGTTTTTAGTCTAAGATGGGTTCATCACTATAACTATGGTTTGTTTCAGGGAGAGGTGAGTGATTCCAGTACTCCTGGGGCCTCTGGACAAAACCTAGGAGGCCAATCTCGATTTGCAAAACTTGGAATGGCTACAAACGATGTCTTAAATAAGGCATACAGAGATATTCTAGAATCAGAAATTTCCCCATCTGATATTGAGAACAAGGTGAATTTATTATCAAACAAAAAGAGGATGAATCTGAAGCTGAACCCAGATCAAGAAGATCTTTTGAAAAAAGCAAAAAATTCTGGATATGTGGAATTTGATATTTCATTAACTTACAAGATGATAAGAAACATTTGTTCGATGATCCCTAAACCAACAAAAGGAAAGTGGGGAGAAGAGCCTGCAGCAGGAGAGGTTACAGTGGGTGACGATATCGAGAGAATTAGGTTAATACGAAATAGATTGACTGCGCACGTGAATTCAGCCTCTACCTCTCAGACAGAATTCGACGATACCTGGTCGACGATGTCAGATATCTGCCAAAGATTGGAAACCTTTACTGGGAAGAAATACTTGGATGATCTTAATTCCATTAAAAAACTGACCTTAAGAAGAGAAGATGAGGATGCTATTATAAAAAATGTCAAAATGCAAGAAATTTGGGAAAGAATCAAATCAAATATGCAAGAATTTGAAACAGTGTTCAAGCCTAACGAAGGTGCTACAAATTAGGAGCTAGTAAAATGCAATGTAGAATACTAAAGAATCATTTGTAACCTAAATTCAAACTGTAAACAATTAATTTTTTTTAAACTTTGTAGAATTAATGAATTTCATTTGAAATTGAGCATCTGGTATTTTCAGGTTAATTTGTCAATTCTAAATTTTTTAAGGATTCTTGTCTGAACATTAAATTCAATCTAGTTACTTCAGAGGCTAATACATTGTAGAAATTCAAATATACTAGTAGTTTGTGCTGGGAAATGTGCCTTGACCTGGTTATTAAATGAAATGGCATTCAAAGATCATGTTGTCCTGAGGGTTGAAATAGGTACATAATATGACATATGAAGACAAGGTTAAGAAATGTAATATTTTTAAAGAAAAAAGCAAAGTTTTACTGAAAATGTGGAAAAGGTCATATATTGCATACAATTGACTTAGTCCAAGATGTGTGTGATAAATCTGTGCCAAATGTGTATCACTCGATTCATATGTTTAGTTTAATTTGATGAACAGTGCATAAAGATCACTGACGTTTTACCATTCCACAAAAAGTTATAAGTCAATATGACTGTATAAAAATTTGAGTTTGATTAAGGCATCAAATGCGGGAAACCTATAGAAATTACATCGTCCGTCTGTCTGTCCTTCTGTCAACCCTCTTGCAATGCAATAACCTAATAGCTTTCATCCCTAAAATTTTCAATCTAACACTAATTTAGAAGAAGGGAAGGAGTTATTACTTGGAGGGGGGGGGGGGGGGGGTATTGGTGTGTCTGTCTTTATAAATGCCTGTCTGATAGTACTGTATTCATGTTTCTTTGTACATCTTTTGTGACCAATAACCCAGAAAACATCATTATCAAAACTACATACAGATGGAGTTAACTCTTAGGGGAAAAATGTGAATCAAGTCGTCGGTCTGCCTTTCTGTAAGCAGTTTTCTTTTGGGTAATATTTCAGTTGTCACCGTAATGCCGTAAAGTTTTGCACACCAAGAGCAGGAAAATGATCCGTTACCTTTGGCAATACATATTATAAAGGCATGAATTTGAGCACACAGCATATATTTATATTTAATAACTAATAAATAATTTAAAATGGATCAAAATGTGAAGAAATATTTTTTTTTAAAAAAGCGTGATGTTTTGCGCCGAAATCGGAGCGAATCATCGTGGCACGAACCATCTCAGGGCGAAACAGAATCGGCACGAAACATACCGGATTCTTAATTTTAAGGAGAATGTTGCCAAATTTATTCATGTACCGTGTATGGAGGAGTTAGACCCCAACGTCGACAGGTCACATCCGCCTTTTGTATTGATCAGGTAGACGAAACAATTCGTAATCAAATATAGTGTAAAGTCCCCGATCCTGAAATGTTTCCGTTACGGGTTTTCTTGATATGTATTTTGTTTATGTTTCCGCCCGAGCAGAAATGTCGATTTTAAATGAGCTTGGACATAAAAAGCCGCACAGGAGTAAGTAAGTGTTCATCTAAATACATAACATTTCAAGAAAACTGATGTTTGGAACATATTTGAATTGTTTTATACTTATGATGATGCTAAAATTACATGTTTGAATAATCTCTAGTAAAACACAAGTTTGCTTGGTTGAAGTCGTGTGCAAGACTTTATCACTCTAGACGAACTCAAAATACAGGTTGAACGGAAGTAAGAAATTGAGACTGAAAAAGACTCCGAAAGTCTAGAGTCCGCGCATGCGCACACACAAAAAAATGTCGATTTTTCGGCAAAAATCATGAGTCTACAAAAACTGTCCGTGCAAAGTTTTGGAAAGTATTGCATTGATGCTTGTCCTCTGAAATGCTACATAAAAATCTTCGGAAGAGATCGTATTTGTCAGATTTTAGATTCTATTTGCAAAAAAAAAGAGATATCTACTTTTAGCTTCAAAGTTGACGATTCAAATCCGATCAATTACAGAGAAAATTGTACTTTTGATAAGTAAATATGCTTTCCTGATATAACTATAGACCAGTTTCACTGTTGAGCTGTGTTGGAAAAATCATGGAAAGAGTTGTGTTTAAATGCGATTTATGTAATAAATTATTTTATGACGACGAGTTTCCATGATTTTCATTTTGTCACCCTTTGGTGAGCCTCACATTTTGTTAAGTCAGTGACCCGTATGTAGCCTCTCTACTTTCCTTTGATTTCATTGGCTAAGAGATAGCGTCCTTTCTGTATTAGCCTAAGCCTGGAGGAGAACAATTATTTTTCTGAATTTTTAGCCAGTTTTTTAGTTACTTTGATACAAGTTTTCGTTACGTCGTTTAAGCGTTTGATATCTGGAACAATTGTGTGAAGATCGGTGGTTTTTGAGAGCTATTTTCCAGGTAAATGCTTACAATTCTGTTTGTTTTGATCTGAGTTCGTTAGTGTGTGACCCGCCATTGTTATGTAAACATTGTATGCTGAGTAAAACGCTGTGCTTTCGTTTTGTGAAATGGCGAAGGTCTTAGTAGTCGGCCACAGTTTTATTCGTCGCCTTGAGCAGTCATTAGGACATAATGCAGGGTGTAGTGATAATTTTGGACTAGATATAAACTTTTGCACGATCAGATTCTACGGAGTCGGTGGGGCTACTCTAGATAAACTCAGTGTCGATGATGCGTTAGTTCACGAGCTCCAGAACTTTCACCCGAGTGTTATTGTACTTCAGCTGGGTGGAAATGATTTGTGTAATAGGACATTAAGACCAGAAGTTTTCGCTTGCAGACTTGTGGAATGGGTCGAATCGATTGTTTACCAATACAGTTTTATTAAGAGAATAGTTGTTTGTGAGCTTTTCAGTCGGTCAAAACCACGAAATGTGACAGTCGAAATGTACTCTTACCGACGTGATATTGTCAATCAAATGTTGAAGGACATGTTAGAAATTCACCCTAAGTTGATATATTGGCGACTTTTACGTTTAATGAACAGTCCATTGGCCATCTACAGTTTAGATGGTGTACATCTGTCTGAAATAGGAAATAGGAAGTTCTATAGGAGCCTAAGACTGGCAATTCTCCAGGCTATAAGGTATTGTAGACATGATAAGTTGCACATGTTGTCTAAAATAGACTAATTTATAAAAACAGCTTTGGTTAGAGAAATTCTGAATGTTGATTCAAGCGCTTTTACTATCATACCGTATGCTATTGTGAGCCTTGTGTAATCAATTAGGATATTGTTAATAGCTGAGTTTTTGTTCATGCTCATCTTTTTATCATTACTCAGATTTCAAATGCTATGGTATTTTGGTTATACAATTAGTGCATTATGGCCTAAAGGGTAGATTGGAGGCATTCTATTTGTTTATGTAGATGGGTTGGACATGTAGTTGTCATTTCAGATTATATGTATATTCATTCTCATTATGATCAATGAATAGTGACATATGACATAAACTAGTAAACACTTTATTTTGTGCTGTAGCATGTTGCAAATTCAACATGTAAAAAATGTATATTGTTTAGAAATATGCATCAATACTTGATGCCCATTTAAAGGTTAAATGACTGCTGGCTGTAGTATGGTTTGTAAGGCGAGCACATAAGTCTCCTGCTTTACTTTAATCATGTTGATATTATATAGATGTATATTCATTATCATATTGATCACGGAATGGTGACATTATTTGACTTTAGCCAGTGAACAGTTTACTTTGTGCAGTGGCATGCTGTAAATTCAGCATGTAAACAATGTATATTATTGTTCAGAAATATACATAAATACTTGATGCCTGTTTAAAGGTTGAATAATTATGCTGGCTGTGGCATGCCTTGTAACTCGAGCATGTATATTGGCATAATCATGTTCATATTATATATATATGTATCTTCATTATCATATTGATCATGGAATGGGGACATTATTTGACATTAGCCAGTGAACAGTTTATTTTGTGCAGTGGCATGCTGTAAATTCAGCATGTAAACAATGTATATTAATGTTCAAAAATATACATCAATTGCAATGCTTGATGCCTGTTTAAAGGTTTAATAATCATGCTGGTTTTGGCATGCTTTGTAACTCAAGCATGTATATTGGCATGTATGAGTTGGTACATGTAATATTTTACAAATTTATAAGGCAGGAAGATTATACCTGTTACATGTATGATTGGTAAGTGCCAAGGAGGATTTAAAAAAAACAAAACAAAAAAAAAAAAAAAAAAAAAAAAAAAAAAAAAAAATTGGCATTTTATCAAAAACCTTTGAAAATTTGGCATGCTAGAAATTTAAGGCATGTATGTTGGCATGCTAATGAATATTCTTAGCATGTATTTGTTTCATTTACATTTTGTTATTTTAGAGCATAATGGGTCCCAAAAAGAAGTACCCTCCTTCAGCAACAGTTGGACAGAGACCAACTAAGAAACAGCGGACATCTGACAGTGCAGTGACAAATGACTCTAGTGTAATTCAAAGTCTGACGCAGTCCATTACAGCAAACATTTTGTCAGAACTCAAGAAAGTTGGAGTCCTACCTACTGTTGGACCGCAAGAGGCTATCACGACACAAGTGCCACATTCACTGCAAGACTCCAATTCAGCTAGAGCAACCTCAGAAGAAAATGTGAGTGAACCTATAGCAGCTCAGCAGGGAACCGCTTACACAGTACCATCATCCCCATCATCAACCCCACAGTCAACTTCAGCTCATGGTGTGACAGCACAAAACACAGCAGTGAATGGAGCACCAATTGAACAGCAGCTACCAGCAGCTACTTTTGTGAATCTTGCACAGCAATTACAGGGTAATGTCGAAAGTACGTCTGAGTACAAACCTCTTGGTAGACCCCTTTACACGTATGTCTCTAGCAAAATCAAAGACAAGATATTGGCAAATGAATTTGTACAGATGGGTGACATTTTAGACCCCCCTACTGATCTGGAATTTGTCGATTTCCACCTGTCAGTTAAAGATAAAGGTAGAGTTGGATTAAGCTCTAATAAAAGAAAAAAATTTATAACCATTGAAGAATGGACTGATGCATTCAACATCTTCAGTTCAGTGGTAAGGCAAGGCAATCCCAATGATAAAGACCTCCCAGAATCTTTGGCAGTGTATATGCACTTAATTCGCTCAATACATAAAGATGGGGGGGACTGGTTTCATTATGATATCACATTTAGAAAGGCCAGGCAAGGGGATATCTCATTATCATGGAGACATGTTGATCAGGTTTTGTATAGTCGGGCTTTAATGAAAAAGTTGGGGGCACCTGTAACGCATACTGCTAAGAACCAGCTTTTTCGTCCCCACTGCTTCAAATTTAATGAAGGAAAGTCATGCACAGGCCTCTGTAAATACCCTCACATCTGTTCTACCTGTTTTAAACCCCACCCCAAAACCCAGTGTTGGAGAAATAGAGAAAAAAGGTCTGCACCTGCTACACAGTCAACTGGGTCCCAGCTTGCAAAGAAAGCCTGAATACTCCGGCAAATTACCAACTCCTATTAACCCTGACAAATTAGCTCAATATTTGGTAGGTTATGATGAATCTAAGACATTGTATTTATTAGATGGTTTTAGAAATGGCTTCAGGTTAGAATATGAAGGGGACAGGGGGTTTCAGTTCAGTTCCAATCTTAAATCAGCACTTGAGAAAAAAGAAATTGTAAGTCAAAAAATTTCTAAAGAGCTCAGTGCAGGTCGCATTGCAGGACCTTTTTCAAAGCCTCCATTTAACTCGTTGAAGATTTCTCCACTAGGTATAGTGCCTAAGAAAACCCCAAATCAATATCGAATGATTCATCACTTATCTTACCCTACCAAAATGGAAGGTTCAGTCAACGCGGGTATATCTGACGAGGCAGCTGCTGTTCAGTATGCAGGTATAAATGATGCTGTAGGGTGTATTAAACAACTTGGGGAAACTTCATTCTGTTGCAAAACAGACATTCGATCAGCATTTAGAATACTGCCTGTATCACCAATGGATTATGAGCTATTGGGTTTTATGTGGGAGGACAAATATTTCTACGATAAGTGTTTGCCAATGGGTTGCAGAACAAGTTGTAAAATTTTCGAGCAGTTTAGTACTGCCATTGAGTGGATCGCTAAGACAAGGTTAGGAATCACAGCTGTAGTTCATATACTGGATGATTTTCTTTTTATTGAGCAATCCAAAGTTTTATGTTTACAAAAATTTAAAAATTTCCTTGAGCTTTGTGTGGACATTGGAATTCCCCTCGCAGCAGAAAAAACTGTTCTTCCTACACAGATTATTGAATTTGTGGGAATAGAGATAGATGTTAGGTTAAGGGAAACCCGCTTGCCCAGAGATAAGATTTTAAAATGTACATATTTGCTTCAAAATTTTCTTCAAAAAGACAGATGTACTGTGAAAGAGATGCAATCACTTATTGGGGTTTTGAATTTCGCTTGTTCAGTTATTTTGCCAGGTCGTGCATTTCTCCGACATTGTATAAATGTGCTGATGAAAGTCTCTGAAAATCAAAGTTTTATAACCATTGATCAGGAATGTAAACAGGATATGTTCTTGTGGTTGACATTTCTTGAAAAGTATAATGGCAAGACTATGTTTTTAGACGAGAAATTTCTGTCTAGCAATATCCTCCAGTTGTATACAGATGCTGCACAGTCAAAAGGCTTTGCAGGAATCTATAAAACCCAATGGTTTTATGGTAGTTTTCCTGAAAACTGGAAGAGCTTAAATATTATGACTTTAGAGTTTTACCCGATAGTCCTCGCAGTTGCTATTTGGGGAAGATTGTTTGCTAATCACTCCATTCTATTCTTTACTGACAACGAAGCATTAGTTTCTGTTATCAATAAGCTAACTAGCAAAGATTCATTAGTGCTACAGATGGTTAGGTATATGGTCATGCAATGCCTGGAGCATAATATTATATTTAAAGCAAAACATATACCTGGTAAACACAATAAGTTGGCAGATAGCCTCTCTCGATTACAGGTTCAAGAATTCAGGAAGTTAGCACCGGATGCACAAGCAGAACCAACCATGGTGCCAGCAGCGTTGATGCCTCAGAACTTCTGGACAACATTGCAAAGCTTACAACTGCAGCTATAGCACCCTCAACAACAGCTACATACAACAGAGCTTGGCGGGTTTTCACATCTTTCTGCATTTCATACAATATACCATGTGTACTGCCTTTGACTTCATCCATAGTTGCTCTTTTTGTAGCACATCTATTTTCTGCATCATTTTCACCAAAATCCATCTCTACTTATCTATCAGCACTAGGGTATGTGCATAAAATTTTGAATTATCAGGATCCTACACAAGCTTTTTTAATACAAAAATTAATTGCTGGAGCTTATCGTTTGGGCAACACATTTGACATTAGATTACCAATTACAAACCATATTTTAGACCAATTGGTATCATGTCTACCACAAGTGGTTTCAGAAGAAAACAATCAGAAAATGTTTCGAGCTTTATTTCTATTTGCTTTTTCGGCATTCGCACGCATTGGAGAATTAGTCGGCTCTGAGGGTCATTATGAAGAAGTCATCCAGCTTTCAGATGTCACTTTTACATGTAAAGCAGGAAAGGCTTATCAGGTCAATGTTTGTTTTAAAACTTTTAAGCACAATTCTTCTGGTGTACCTAAGTTTATTTCATTCTCACATGGAGATTGCAAAATTTCTGCAGTAGAAGCACTTTTACAGTACTTAAATATAAGAAAGAATATTACTGGTCCTTTGTTTCTCTTAGACAACAGCTTACCTCTAACTAGGGTCAAGTTTAACCATACACTTAAAAAATGTTTGCTCTTGTGTGGTTTAGATAGTTCAAAATATAAGGGACACAGCTTCAGAATAGGTGCTGCTACGGCAGCTGCTTTTAAGGGATGTACTGATACACAAATAAGGTCTATGGGACGCTGGCAATCCAATGCATTTCAAAAGTATATAAGATCAAATCATGTGCCCACAAGTGAGTAAACAAATCCATTAGTTTTTTAACCTATCTTTGGTCTTGGCTTTCAACTTATGTTTATAGAATACCTGCTTGGGCCGGTATTCAGTTTGTTGGTATAAACATTTTAACTTAGCTTTAATAACCATGTTTTATAAAATGTTATTATGGTCTACCAACTGATTTACAATATGTTTTGGAATACCTGCTAGGGCTGGTATTCAATTGAGGCGACAGAAACATGTATCGATACCCCCTTGCTTGGCCAAATAGAATTACTTTTATTTCATAGGTACCTGCTGGGGCTGGTATCATATACGATATGTATACATTTTTTATCTGTGATGTTATAGTACTTGTGCCAGTAGTCTGGGTATATCCGAAGTGTTACCTGCTTGGGCCGGTAACATGTTTGATGTACATGTATAGACATTTTCAACAAAGCAAGAGTACTTGTTGGGGCCAGTGCTCATCTGTCATTTTATTTAGATCTCACGTACTAAGAAATTGTTATTTGAAATTTTAGTACGAAGATTATTTTCTTTGATTGTCTTGTTTATGGCATAATGCATATATGCGTATAGTCTTAATCATAGATGTTAATTTCTCTTCTTAAAAACACTTACAAAATGATGTACATGCAGTGGCTCGGTTGGGGTCGTTTCAAAGATCATCATGAGCATGATCTTCTCAACTGGTGGATGATTGACCCCACCTTTGCCAAGGTTAGAAGATTTAAGACAAAAATTACATTGTATACTCTCTGTATTTACCTGTTAAATTCTTGTTTTGATTTTGTATGAAGAAAACTGTATATACATGTTTTTACAATAGTTTTTTGGCAAACAGTAGTTAATATAGAGTTTGTGTTCTGTTATTATTATACTTGTATGTAAGAAATATTTTATATGTGTAAAGAACAATTGTCCATATTTGTTGGAAACCTTTGATGCTTATATTAACTACATTTTTGTTGATTGATCAAAATCTTTATTTTGATCAATAAAATACAACTTCAATATACACATGTGTTTTGTCCCTTTTTTCATAGCAGTTGGGAAAAGAGGAGGCATAAATATATTTATAATCATTTTCATGACAATTTTTTTTTATAAATAGCAGCCTGGTTTTCTAACTGGTCACTCGACGATATACCTAATACAATATTGTTAAAGCTATTGATGATGAAGAATTTTGCTGTATGATATTTTGTGATCTTTATTAAAAAGCATTTGATCGTTTTTGGCATAAAGGTATTTTATTAAAACTTAAAACTTATGAGATTAGTGAAAATTTATTAAATGTCCCGTTATTAGCAGACCTTTTTGTATTCATATGAAGCAGAATGTGTCCAAAATCTTATATGTGAAAAGAAGCACTTGCTGTGGCCTTGAATTCGACATTTAGATATATCGACGACGTATTGTCAATTGACAATGGTTATTTCCATTCTTATGTCAATACGATATATCCCGGTGAGCTTGAGATGATAGATAATACAGAGTCTGACACATCTGTTTCATATTTGGATATTTTATTCGAAAAAGACGTTAATGGTAATCTAACAACCAAGCTTTATGATAAACGTGATCGACTTTAACTTTTCAATCGTCAACTTCCCTTACTTATGCAGCAATATACCTTCATCACCTGCATACAGGATTTATATCTCTCAGTTGATTCGATACGCCAGAACATGCTATACGTATGAACAATTTCTAAAACGAGGTAAATTATTGACAAACAAGTAGATGAAACAAGAATATCAGCAGTCTCGTTTAAAGTCATCATTTCGTAAGTTCTATGGTCGATACAATGACTTTGTCAGCAAATACAATTTATCATTGAGTCAAATGCTGACTGACGTTTTTCATACTAATTGTTAGGCCATTATTTACACACTGTATTGTCGACGGATTTTTCCGTTATTTCCCGATCATGACAAAGAGCACACGGCGGGTGTGAGCGGTCGGCAGGGGATGCTTTCTCCTCCATAGCACCTGATCCCACCTCTGATGTTTTGGAGGTCTGTGTTTTCTCTGCTTCTAAAGGGTGATGTAGCGTAACTTGTTATCAACACCAAAACCCTTACATGCTGGTGGTCCTCAGTGCTCATTTTTAGGACCACTTTTGTTTTTTATAGTTTTGTGAAAGATGTTGCTGATAATATGGTTACTTTTTGTAGACTGATTGCTGATGATAATTCTTTGCAGCATTCGTCTCATAATACGAAAATTATTGAAGGAAACTGAAAGAAAGATTTAAATGCACTGGAACTTTGGTCTAAAAATGGTTATTGAAACTTAATCCCTCTAATGTTTAGTACAAAGAAAAACATAGAATTTCCTAAGCTTCTTTTTCAACAATGCCAACTGGTTTTCGTCTCTGAACAAAAAACACCTCTGTTACAACGCGAAATGTAATAACAACACAAAATGTAATAAACCGGGATTATTGCATTTTGCGTTATTACATTTTGCGTCGAGATCAACGCAGAATGTAATAAGGCAAAATGTAAAAACAGATTTTTAAGGATTATTACATTTTGCGTTATTACAATTTGCGTCGTGATCAACGCAAAATATAATAACGCAAAATGTAATAAAACAATTTTCCAAAGTTCCAATGCATTTTGCGTCGAGATTAAGCAAAATGCAACAACACAAAATGTAATAACACACTTTTGGTCAGTCAGGTTGAGAATAATTTTTAATTGGGTAGTGGCTGAAGAAAATAAACGGAAAGAAAATAAAACAAAAGGAAAAATAAACGTATGCTAATTCTTACATTAGATTTGATTTCATCATATATTGATTTCATTACCCATTTGAAATCATTTGGTTTTCAAACCATAGATGTTGCAAATTAGAAACGTGCGTGCGCAAGTGTGTGTGTTTGTCGGTGGGGGGGGGGTATTTCCTTGTTCAGTGTATCGGTTTGCTTTGTCTTTTTGATAAGCACATGCATGAAATTTAGAAAAGAAATCTATTTATTTTTACTGGCAGATGTTAATATAGCTGGAGGGGGGTTTCTTGACAAGTAAGATTTCATACTGTTTTACAAATCATGTGCATTGCAGACCAGCAAAATACAATTTTCTCTCTCTTCAAATAATAAAATGGATAGTTTCTGCATGCGCATAAAAATAGAATGATCAACATACGAAGTAACCCCTTTCCCCCGCTTTTCCTCGCCAGACACACACACGTGCACTTCTTATTTGCTAAGGAATGTACACATGAGCGTCGTACATGCATATCAAGAGATTTTAATGGACCCAAGGTGCATATTTGGTTATTAAGAATGTCAGTGATGGATATATGATACAGACTGGTTTATAAAACAGACATGCAAATCAAAGTTAAGTTAATGTTTTATTTTATAAGTATTCAGTAAAAATGCTAGAAACAGAGTTAAAAAAAATAAACAATTAGTAATGTCCGTAAAAGCTGTAACGTTTGTCTCATAGTCATAGGTCTGTCTGTCTATTTAGTAAAGCGAGTTTTCCCATTGTTATATGTTTAAATCAATTTTGTGATGTTTTGCGTTAAACACAGTACAAAAAGATAATTATACTTTGTTTTATTACATTTTCTTTCATTACAGTTTGCATTGTTCTCAACGTAAAAATTAAGTAACGAAAAATGTAACAACCAAAAATTTGCTTTATTACATTTTGCGTTAATTCCAACGCAAAACGTAATAAAGCAAAATGTAATAAAACTTAAAAATCGTGTAATTACATTTTGCGTTATTACATTCTACGTTGATCTCGACGCAAAATGTAATATCCCAGTTTATTACATTTTGCGTTGTTAGCTCACCTGAGCTGAAAGCTCAAGTGAGCTTTTCTGATCACCTGTTGTCCATCGTCCGTCCGTCTGTAAACTTTTCACATTTTCAACTTCTTCTCAAGAACCACTGGGTCAATGTTGACCAAAGTTGGTACAAAGCATCCTTGGGTAAAGGGGAGTTTAAATTGTTACAATAAAGGGCCAATCCCCCTTACAAGGGGAGCTAATCAAGAAAAGACAAAAATAGGGTGGGGTCATTAATAAATCTTCTTCTCAAGAACCACTGGGTCAGAAAAGCTGAAATTCAATGAAAGCATCCTGGGGAAGTGTAGATTCTAAATTGTTCAAATCATGACCTCTGAGAGTAGGGATGGGCCACAATGGGGAATTCAAGTTTTAAATTGAAATATATTTGAAAAATCTTTAAAAATCTTCTTCTCAAGAATCACTGGGTCAGAAAAGCTAAAAGTTACATGGAAGCATTCTAGGTTAGTGTAGATTCTAAATTGTTCAAATCATGACCCCTGGGGGTAGGATGTGGCCATAATGGGGAATCCATGTTTTACATTGAAATATATAGGAAAAAAATTTAAAAATCTTCTCAAGAACCACTGGACCAGAAAAGCTGAAACTTACATGGAATCATTCTGGGGTAGTGTTGATTCTAAATTGTTCAAATCATGACCCCCGGGGGTAAGATGGGGCCACAATGGGGAATCAAAGTTTTACATTGAAATATATAGGAAAAATCTTTAAATATCTTCTACTCAAGAACCACTGGGTCAGAAAAGCTGAAACGTAGAAAGAAGCATCCACGGGTAGTGTAGATTTTAAATTGGTCAAATCATGACCCCCGGGGACAGGGTTGGGCCATAATACGTATTACAAGGGGAAGATCTTAAGAACAGCAGGGCCAAAGTTACTTAGGTGAGCGTTGTGGCCCATGGGCCTCTTGTTTTTACATTTAGGGTTGTAACAGCGCCGACTGGACATACCATTGCTAACAAAAACAAGCGATTGAGGAGCAATATGAAAACACACATCAGTTTGAATGGACTTTTGAGCTTGAATACTGTTTGTTATCTCCATATATTTCATCCCGTTATGAAACACTTGTTTCAGAAACTGTGGTGCTATTATTTCAGTTTCAATGGGACATATCAAATAAATAAATATGAAAATGAATACATTTATAGCTATTTGATAAAACTTTGTCGATATATCCTAATTTCGATGCAAGCAAGAGACTTCTTTTCATGTAGAATTTCAAAATAATTTCTGCTTCAGAATCAGAATTTGATACAAAAACAAAATCAGGTCTGTTAATTACGGAACATAATTATGACATATGGGAATAGAACAGTTTGTTGGCAGAGCTGGTCTCCAAAGCTTACATCGATACTGTCAATGGAAAATTCAAGCAATTTTTAAAATAATCTCGGTTTACAGTCGGAAGAATAAGTATGATACTTAAAAAATTAACAAATTAAATTTTCCATTTTAAGTGAAGAACAATGACGTTGTATACCATAATAATATTAGTTATAGAAATAAAAGTCAGAATGATTAGGTTTTAATTGTTTGAACTTATTATATTTGTAAAAATCGCGGACATTAAAGGTCGTCGATAGTGCGCATGACCAGGGTCAAAACGCCATAAACTTTTAAATAAAGCTTTCTGATTAAAATGATTATTTTCTTTTTAAAACAAGTCAAAGCTTAATAAAAATTAAATATGTTCCAAATAAAGCGGCTACCATCATTTTCTTATATCTTTAGTATCGGTTAGTAAATAGACAGTGAGAACATTAAGCGAAAACCTTAAGAAGTATGTTTCAAAAATTGACAGAAAAAGCGACGTTGGCCATCTGAACGGAACAGCGTGCAATCATACAAATACGTTTTAATATGGTTGCAACGACGATAGACACAAACTATTTATTCAACGGATTTGACATGGCAATGTGTGTTATCAAAACATTTTTCTTTGTAAATGGTACTTTATTGTCTCTACTTCATACATTTTTAATTGGTTTACAAAGATACTTAATTATTTGTCATACTTCTTGGAGTGATCGTTTGTTTCAAAATCATAGAAAATATATTGCTAGCATCTCTAGTTGGCTGATAATACTAATTTTCACGGTTGGTTTGATGTCACCTCCAGATGGTCCGATGCAAAATTGTCAAGTTCAATATATCTACCAAAGACATTTTCAAATTTTCATCAATTTGAACAAGTTA